TGTTTTCATTTATGAATTCTAGTTGCAAATGCAGTTCTAATTTTGTGTTTTTAGCTTGCTCGAGGGAGAGGTTTTAGAACCGAAGCTTTTGATTAATGATTTGTGGGAATTGGGTTGATTTGGGTTTAGCTTGAGAGAGTGAATCCTAAACCCAATCCTACCCATCTTGCTCGAAAGAGAAGATGTATTAAGGTTGTGGGTTGTTCTAATGTGTTAAGTTTGTGATGTTCGAATGAAATCACTTGAATCGAAGTAGTTGTTCGAGAGAAAACTATTTTCACTCATAGTCCAACCTACCACCTGATATTTAGCTATTCACTAGTAATATCAATTACCCATATATCGAAATTTGCCTAGAATCGATCACATCCTGAGAATTTCCCTGTATATTGCTGATTCAGTTTTGTTTGACTACTTTACAACTGATATTTTCAAACCTAAACCCCCAATCTAACATTTATTGTCACCCTTTTGACTTGTTTGTATTTTTCTTTCACAAATTTCTATTCCTATCGCTGATTAGACCACATTTTTACCTCCTGATTAATTTTGAACATGTACCACTCCTTGTGGGTTCGACCTCAACTCTTTGTTGGATTTTATACTGCTTAACGATCGTTTGCACCTATAATTGGATGAGGCGTGCTTGAAATGTTAATCAAAATAGCGCCAGTGCGGGGGAGTGTTGTTTTTTTAAAATTCTTTTAGTGGAGTTAAATTGTGTTCTCTTTAGTGGTAGTTGAATCTACTTACTTTAGTTTTGGTTTTGTGTTGTTTGTGCTGAACAAAGGAAGAGATGAGAGTAAACGGAAGTAATGGTAGCCAAGTGGGCCACCAAGATGACATTGGGAACCTAAATGATGTCAATGACCCAATCCAAGTGGGTGGTGTTTGTGCCATTCGTTTACCTCCGGCTAAAGGAAACGTTGTCTTCCACATCACAAGCACAATGCTTCAGCTTCTGCAATTGAAAGGATTATTTTGGGGGATGGCTCATGAGGATCCCCATGAGCATATCAAGAACTTCGTGGATGTCTGTGGACCGTTTTCATTTAAGAAGATATCCCAAGAATCGGTCTGTCTCAGGTTGTTTCCGTTCTCTTTGATGGGTGAAGCTACTAAGTGGTTGACTGAGTTACCGAGAGACTCCATCATCTCTTGGGATGAGCTAACTGCAGTATTCCAAGTGATATTCTTTCCCCCCATCGAAGATGATGACTCTAAGGGATGGCATCCAAGGTTTCAAACGCTTGGAAGGTGAGCCAATCCATGAGACATGGCTGAGATTTAAAAAGTTGGTGCTTCAGTGGCCAAATCATGGACTTCCAAATAATGTGCTATTGCAACACTTTTATAGGAATCTCGACTCGGTGAACAAAGGAGTGGCTGATCAACTCTCACCTGGTGGTATAATGCAACAACCCTATGAAATAGCATCCAAACTACTTGATTGCATGACCAAGATCAATAGGGCGTGGTACACTCGTGAAGACCAAGTCTCTCCTCTCACTTATAAAATGACAAAAGAGCATATAAAAAAGGATCAAGAGATAGACCAAAACATGGCAAAAATGATGACCCAGCTAGATATTTTGGCTAAAAATGTCATGAGTGTTGGTATCAAGAGTGTTAATGCCGTGGGTGTTGGTGGAGCAAACCCCGATGAAACACAATTTGAAACACTGTACAATGAGAAAGTGAACTTCCTAGCAAATCAAGGAGGAGGTTATCGTGCAAACTACCCAATACTGGGTGGAAATCAAGGTAGGAACAAAGATGAGGGCTGGAGAGACCGTGACCGAGATTGGCGTGATGGTAGCACCACCTAGAAGGAGAGAAAGGGAGACAAAGATAAGTATATTCCTCCTCATGAGCATCAAAAGCCTAAAGAATCCGAAGGTGGTCATACAAAAGATATGCTCTCAAGCATTCTCAACAAAGTTGAAGGGTCAGACAAAGTGTTGAAAGAGATGAGAGAGGATGTTTCAACTCTAAACAGATGGTGACCTCACACTCAGTCTCTATTAAGCAGCTGGAGACCCAAATGGGTCAAATTTCTTCTCATTTGAATCCAAGACAACAATGGGGTTTTCCTAGTGACACAATGGCAAACCCTAAAATGAAGCCTGATTTGGTATCCTTGTCGTGCCACGACATTAACTAAGGCACTTCTTGTGAGGCAACCCAAGTTCTTAATGCTTTAAGTTTTAACTTTGAATAACGGGTGTTGATTGTGCAGGTTGAAAATTGGAGAATGCTAGAAAATAGGTAGTTTGTTGAGCCCAGAGTCCAGTCGGCAACACGCCGAACAGCTCTGCGAGCCTCGACTTGGACCGTTGTTAGAATAACCAAGCTTGAAGGGGAACTCTGTAAAACTCGGTAGATTGAAAGATTAATCGATGAGTCATCGAACAGGTCGACAATCCTGATTCTGTCCGCCGTTTGGAACCCCAAATATGCTGGAGGTCCTGTAAAACTCAGCGAGGGAAATATCGCTCAGTGTATCGCTGAGTGGATCGGCGATAACGACTTAATTCGCCAATGGTGCCGCGAACTGAAAGGTTTTAAAAGCCAAACTATTTAAAATTTCAAAATCCTTCATATTCTCTCATTTTGAACTCTCGTACTCTCTCACTCATTAGTTAATCTTCATTATTTTACCCTTTTTCCTGCATTTTTGTGTGATTTTGTGCTTTGAATTGTAAATCTTTGCCGTCTAGCTTTTCAACTTTGATATTCGGCATACATATTAGTTTTTCGAACCCCATAATCTATGTTTATGTTTGAACTCAAATGCAATAGGTAATTGTGTGTTGATATGTGCTGGGTAATTAGTTTAATCGTGTTTTAATTGTTGGATTCCCCGTAGTTTGTTGAAACACGTGCCTAATGGTCTAATTTCATCGATTCCTTTGTTTTGTTTGTTAAAATTGAGTATTAAATTGTTGGGTTGTGGTTTATTTATGCTGGATCTTGTGGGGTGAAGTCTAAGTAACCCCGAATTGTGCCAAATGATGTAATTTTATCAATGATAGAGCGATTGACGTCATTCTTAAGGGAAAAAGTCGTCAAATGGCCAATTTTGGCCAAATTAGGGGGAAGTCTGAGTGCCCGAAGGGCATAGGTCGTATGGTTCTAAGCTTAATTGAATAGTGTATAAGTTTGATTTTTATTTCGAGGGACGTGGGCTTGATTTTGGGAAACTGGGTTGAAAACTGGCACGTCGGGCCGTTTGGCGAGTTGCGTCGAGCTCGCCGAGTGGTTCTGCGGTTCACCGAAGTCCCCTCAGATCACCTTTAATTTCAAGATTTTGGTTGAATTTGTCTGTAACTTTCGGCGAGATGCCTGAGTTCACTGAAAGTTTCTTTTGATCTCCCTTCTGCGCCCCTAACCCTTAAAATACACTGTAACTTTCGATAGTTAACCCCTAGTTCGCCGATTGGTGTCGGCGATTCACCGAATGGCCCTGCACTTCGCCAACTCATCTTGAGACTATAAATTTTTCATGTTGGTACTTTTGGTGAGCCCGATTTGGCTTGCTTTTAGTGACTCAGCGAGTCTTTCTGCAACTTAATTTCATTTCTTGGACTATTTCTAACATTTTTCTATGTGTTTTTACAGATATAGCTAAGAAAAACTTGGATGATAGTGGCATGCCGCCCTGAAAACGGGCATGAAGGATTGTAATTAATGAGGAACCAGCTGCTTCTAGCACAAAAGGCAGGAAGTTACCTCCAAAGGGAGGCAATGGCAAGGCGGCTGCAGCTGAGACGCCGAAGCACAACTCCAGCAGTGAGGGGTAGTCTTTCGAATCTGAGGTTTCATTCCCTGAGCTTGAGGATAATTAGGTATTACAAGCCCGACGAGCAGAGCTGCATTCAAAAGCTCTTCATGATCTGTCTAGGATCCCGGAGCCGACTCCTCCTGCCTCTGATTCAGTGCCATCTCCAGCACAGACGGTGGTTCCATCACCACCAGTTCAGGGTCCTTCTTCCTGGTTACTCAATCGGTTAAATGCCGAGGGATTGAGGACCATCCTAGAAGAGAAGAGGATGTCCACGGATGGTATAGTGGACAGATGCCCGAATGTGTGGGACACTTTCTGGTTTCACCATTTTGAGATGTTCACCAGGCCCCATGGCCCATTTATTCCCACCTGGGTCCGGGAATTTTATAACGCTTACAGTAACTTGGTACCCAAGTAAAAGAAGAAGGCCAATGCCTTTAGATCGGTGGAGTCTGTGGTGGTTCGGGGGAGGACAATGGGATGCAGTAGCGATGATATCAACGCTACGTTTGAGAGTGCTGTAGACTTTGAGCACGAGTACCAGAGTATGATCATGACACAAACTCAGGATGATCTGAAGGGCTGGCTAGCTCCCATTATTTTTGATACCACCCCGAGGTGGTTTGAGGCTGGAGCACCTATCGTTAAGAAGGGTCTGGACATAGTAGCTCGGTACTGGTTTGGATTCATCAGTAGCTCACTCATGCCATCGCAAAACGAGTCCATTCTCTGCCACCCAAAAATAGCCTGTCTCGGATCCATCATAGCCAGGAAGAGGTTGAACATGGGGTTGATTATCGAGCAAGAGATGGCCATGAGGGCCAAAGAGTGGCAGACATCCCTTCTATTTCCAGTTCTCTTTACAGAGTTGGGTCGTCGGGCAGGAATTCCTCGTGATGAGAAGAGGGATGTCGAGGTTACTCCCACATCTTCCACTGACATATAGAGGCCGAGTACACACGGGATGAGGCTGATAGGTGGAGAGCAGCTCTGGTGGACACATCCTCGGAGATTGATATTGATGCATTTCTTGCAGAGGCAACCTTGCCTACTTCGGCCTCCAGGCCTTCAGGTACTTCTACTCCTTCTTAGGCCTCGGGTTCTTCTGCTGCTCCCCTGCCCCCTAGAGCTGTTGCTGGTTCGACAGTCTCCAGAACTCCGATCACTCAAGCCATGATTCTCAAGATGGGGGAACCTAGCCCATTCTATCGATATGCGGGCTTCCCGGCTAGTGTCCAAGGTCCTTTGGATGATTGAGAGAGCGATTACTACTGCGCTGACAACTCTCCAGGCTTTTATTGATGCTCTCACAGTGAGAGTAGAGATTTGCGAGAGAGGACAGGGTGTGACTACTGAGTTTACGACTTTGAAAACTGATGTTTCTGAGCTTAGGAAAGATGTGGACCATCTGAAGTCTACAGACTTCACTTCACTATTTGGGATGGTGGAAATCCCAGATGATCCGATTGCTGAGATTCCAGCTCGTGCTGAAGTACCTCCGGCTACCACCGGATATGATATTATGGATGATGTTACTGTTGCTGAGTTTGAGGCCGAGACCGATGAGGAGCGAGATGCGGCCGTTTTTTAGGATCTGGCCGACTTAGAGGGTGCCATGTTTGAGATAGCCCGATAGGCCTCCTTGAGAGACACTACTGTGATAGGCCCCAGTGGAGCCACAACTGATGCTACACCGGGCACTGATGCCCATCCTCAGAGTGTTACCCCGTGCACTGATGCCCCGACAGACGGAGTGACTGAGTAGCTAGGATGATTTTTTCCCTCCCTCTCTGTTATTTTCTGATACTTTATATGTTGATTTTAGTTGCATTTGAGGCCAAATTCTTATTTTTGTTGGGTGGGGTGAGGTATTCCCATACCTACCTCTTGTGTTTTGATTTTGATTTTTTTTGTGAATATTTGGCTGATTTTGTTGATATATTTATATGTTTTTGATCTTGATCTTGTGGATGTTTTAGCTTATAGCCCATGGTTTTGAATGAAAATGGTTTTGGACAAAATTTTAAAATTTTGCCACCTCTTTTGTATGTGATTATGATTGTTCGTGTGCGAATTTGAGTGTCGGTTGCGATCAATACCAATGACTTGAATAGTTCTCTTAATTGAACAAAGTGAATGTACGGTTATGATGAGGAAAACTAAGTTACATAGGTAATATGTCAACTTTTAGCATCTCGTTATGCCTAGCCGGTTGTCAAATGAGTCTCTTGTGATGAACATTGCACACTTGCTAGAAAGTGTGGAGTCTTGTTTGATATTGGTACCAATTCCTTGAGTGAAGAAATTACTTTGAACATTGTGTATGATGACACCTAGAATTTTCCCCATTGGTCCGGTTGATTGAGTAATGCAGGCATTTGAACTGATCTTAGGCAACAATTTTTAAGAGTGAAAACAATTTGTCAATATACCTCTTTTGTGGCCAACCTTGTGAGATGAGTGAACCTTGCTTGACACATTTTGAGCCTTATCCATTCAACCATAACTTTCATGAAGTGTGGTTTGTTCGAATAGCCAACTTAGGCCAAAAGCCTAAGTTGGGGGTGTGGTGAAAAGAGAATGAAAGTCAAGAAATGTGAGAAATTTCCCCTTGTTGTGATTGATTTGAAAAAGATGGAACCCCTCCATGTAAAAAAAAAAGAGAAAAGAAGAAAAGAGAAAAAGGTTTGAAAGAAAAGAAAAAGAAAAAGACCAAAAAAAGTTGTGAGATAAAGTAGTGGAAATTGTAAGCAAAATGGGGTATCCAGTAGTTCTTTTGAAGTTGAATAATGGGGTGGATTGTGAGCATGTTTGAATTGTTAAAGAAAAGGAGAAAGTGTTCAGACCATATTTTATCAAGGTAATAATCACTATGCCTAAATGACCATACCTTTGCACTTAGCCCTGTTACAAGCCTTAGAAAGACCTTTGTGATCTTAAGTGAGCTGAAGCGAATGTTGATTGGAAAATAAGGGCAAACCTATGGGTGAAGTCATGCATGTGTTCATCTTTGTGAGTGTGAGCATTGTATGCTATTCCAGAGCCTTAAATTGTTGAGAAATTTTGTGTAAATGTGGAATCATCTTTGTGTGAGGGCATTTGAGTACCTTTGTTGAGCTTGAACTTGCATTTGAAAGAAGTATTGTGAATATGAGCATCTTTGATAATGGTGAGTCACAATTTGAATCTTTGAGTGCACAATTGATCATTGTTTAAGTAGTTTGAACCTTGTTGTGTGCCTTCATGTTGAGTCTTATGCAACACTATTTTTAGACATCTTTATTGAACTGCTAAAGTTGAGTTTTACTTGAGGACAAACAAAAGTGTAAGTTGGGGGTTTTAATGAGTCCTAGATTTGGACTCATTTAGGGCTTTGTTGTGATAGTTTTAGTGTTCTCAAATGCCAAATTTGTGCTATAACCTAATGTTAAAGCCTTGATTTTAAGGTATGTTGATTTAGGAGAAAAGCAAAGACACTAACATGCAATAAGGAACATAACAAGCTGAAGAAGTGGAGAAAGGCGAGCCTAGTGACCACCAAGGCCACTCGGCGACTCGCCTAGTAGCTCTTCAGTCCGCCTAAAGTTCTAGTGTGCTAGCCCTGAAGGAAGAAACCAAGTCGGCGACAGAAAAGGGGCAGACGACGACTCGCCGATCAGTTCCGCGATGACAAGATCGATCAACCAAAGTGATAGAACTTGAGGATGCTGAGAACCAAAAAGGTGATAGAAGAGAGCGAAGGGCGGTTCGCCAAACCCGACTTACCTCGCCTAATGGTCTTTCATGGCTAATTTTTAGCGACTATAAATAGGATTTTGAACTATAAATTAAAGTAGGTTTTTTTTTCTAGATTTTAAAATTGTTTCCTTTGAAAGTTTGAGATTTTCTCAGTAGACTTGAAGGCTTTTTGAGATTCAATTCGGAGATTTCGCAAGTGGGTTATTGATTTTCCTCAATTTGGACCATTGTAAAAGCTTGAATACTCTTACCTAGATCATGGCTAATGTATTTGGTAATTGCTTTTCTATTTTTTATGATGTGTGCATAAAACCCCAATTCTTGGGGTGTGATTATAGCTTAAATTAGCTTATGGGTATTTCTTATTACTAATTTAAATACTATATTGAAGTGGGTTTAATCAAGATTTATGTTTTTATTTATGAATTGTTGTTGCAAATACAATTCTAATTTTGTGTTCTTAGCTTTCTAGAGAGAGAAATTTTAGAACCAAAGCTTTTGATTAATGATTCGTGGGTATTGGGTTGATTTGGGTTTAGCTCGAGAGAGTGAATCCTAAACCCAACCGTACCCATCTTGCTCAAAAGAGAAGATGTATTAAGGTTGTGGGTTTTTCTAATCTTTTAAGCTTGTGATGTTCGAGAGAAATCATTTGACTCGAAGTAGTTGTTCGAGAGAACTCTATTTTCACTCATAGTCCAGCCTACCCACTGATATTTAGCTATTCATTTGTAATTTTAATTACCCATACAACGAAATTTGCCTATAATCGATCATATCCCGAGAATTTCTCTTTATATTGTTAATTCAATTTTGTTTAACTGCTTTACAACTGATAATTGCAAATCTAAACCCCTAATCTGACATTTATTGTCACCTCCTTTGACTTGTTTGTATGTTTATTTCAAGAATTTCTATTCCTATCGCTAATTAGACCACATTTGTACCTACTAAATGAATTTGAACATGTACCACTCCCTGTGGGTTCGACCCCAACTCTTTGTTGAATTTTATACTGCTTAACGATCGTTTGCACCTAGAATTGAATGAGGTGTTCTTGAAACATTAATCATCGCCGCACTTGATAGGTTCAAATTCCGTTCCAAACCAAAAAGATTTGAGTTAGATATGAAGAATCACGATTCCCCACCTGCAAAACCGTCTGTAGAAGAGCCTTTAAAACTGTGACTTAAGGCTCTACCATCCCACTTGATGTATGTGTTCTTGGGGAAACAAAGTACGTTACCAATGATCATTGTTGCCGATTTGAGTGAGGAGCAAGTTGAGGCTTTGGTTTCGGTTTTAATGCGGTTGAAGAGGGCTATTGGATGGATTATTGCGGATATTATTGGGATTCCACTGGGAATTTTTTCTCATAAAATCCAACTCATGCCAGACAGTAAGCAGTATTGAGCACCAAAGGAGACTGAATCCCCCTATGCAAGAGGTTCTGAAAAAGGAGATCATTAAATGGTGGGATGTTAGCGTCATATATCTCCTTGTTAATAGTGGTTGGGTTTGTCTTGTTTAGTGCGTGCCCAAGAAAGGGGGAATCACCATGGTTCCTAACACTAAAATGACCTTGGTCCAATGAGGCCGGTGACTGGTTGGAGAGTGTGTATGGACTACCGCAAGTTAAATGCATGGACAGAAAAAGACCATTTCACTATGCCGTTCATGGATGAGATGTTGGATCGTCTCGCTGGTAATGTTTTCTAGATGGGTATTCGGGCTACAATCAAATCTCCATAACTCCGGAAGACCAAGAGAAGACCACATTCACTTGTCCTTATGGGACTTTCGCCTTCAAAAGAATTCCATTCGGGTTGTGTAATGCTCCAGCTACCTTTCAGCGGTGTATGATGTCGATATTCTCTGATATGGTTGAGGACACGATTGAGGTATTTATGGATGATTTCTCAGTGGTATGTGTCTTGTTTGATGGTTATTTGATGAATCTAGTTGAAGTACTAAAATGTTGTGAAGAGTGTAATCTGGTGTTGAATTGGGAAAAATGTCACTTCATGGTCAAAAAGGGTGTAATGCTGGGTCATCGGATTTCGTAGAAAGGTATTGACGTTTATAGAGCCAACATTAAGGTAATAGAAAAACTTCCACCACCTATCTCTGTAAAAGGTGTTCAGAGTTTTCTTGGGCATGCAGGTTTCTACCGAGGTTCATAAAAGATTTCTTAAAAATTGCACATCCACTGTGCAAACTACTCGGAAAGGAGTCTAAGTTTGATTTTGATGATACTTGTCTGAGAGCATTTGGAGAGTTGAAGGCCAATTTAACTTCCACACCGATCATTATTTCATCGGATTGGGGACAACCGTTTGAAGTTATGATGCGAGCGGCGTGGCACTTGGGGTAGTGTTAGGACAGAGGCAAGAAAAGATTCTTCACTTGATCTACTATGCCAACAAGGCTTTGAATATGGCTCAAAAGAACTATACAGTGACTGAAAAGAAGCTCCTTGCCGTGGGTTTTGCATTTGAAAAATTTAGGTCCTACTTGCTTGGTTCTAACGTCATAGTGCATACTAACCATTCTTCTTTGAGGTATCTGATGGCGAAAAAAGATGCAAAACCGAGGTTTATTAGATGGGTGCTTTTGTTGCAAGAGTTTGAGTTTGAGGTGAAGGATAGAAAGGGGACAGAAAACCAGGTTGTCGATCATTTTTCCGAATTAAAGAAATAGTTTGAGGATGGTATTGAGATTAATGATGCATTCCCTGATGAACAAGTATTGGCTGCTTCTCATGATCTTATCCCTTGGTTCACATATTTTGCTAATTACTTGGCAAGTGATTTGGTTCCATCGGATTTGTCTTTCCACCAAAATAAAAAATTCATGTTTGATGTGAAGAAATTGTTTTGGGATGAGACTTACTTGTTCCGTAGTTGTGCTGATGGGATTATTCGACGATGTATGCTTGAGGTAGAGATGATGAGTATACTTGAGGCATTTCATTCATCACCTGTTGGTGGGCACCATAGTGGTATTCAGACTGCTCATAAAATATTACATTGTAGGTATTACTGGCCTACCATCCACCAAAATGCTCAGGATTTCGCCAAATCTTGTGATCGGCGCCAAATAGAAGGAGGCATTTCAAAGAAGCAAGAACTCCCTATGAATCCGATATTGGTGATTTAGTTATTTGATGTCTAGTGCCTTGACTTCATGGGTCCATTTATAAGTTCACATGGGATGAAATATATTCTTGTTGCGATTAAATATGCATCAAAATGGGTGGAAGCAATTGCTCTTCCAAATAATGAGGGAAAGAGTGTCACCGTATTCCTGAAAAAGTGTATCTTATCTAGTTTTGGTACACCTAGGGCAATTATCAACGATGGAGGTTCCCACTTTTGTAACAAGTTATTCAAGTCGTTGCTAGAGAAATATGGGGTTTGTCATAATGTAGCTTTCCCCTATCATCCGCAGTCTAGTGGGCAAGTTGAGATGTCAACAGAGAGATAAAACAAATCCTTGCAAAGACTGTGAATGCAAATAGAACTGATTGGTCAAGAAGGCTTGATGATGCTCTATGAGACTATCGCACTGCCTTCAAGACTCACATAGGTATGTCTCCTTACCAACTTGTATATGGGAAGTCATGTCATTTGCATGTAGAGATAGAGCATAAAGCAATATGGGTGCTAAAGAAGTTGAATTTGGATTGGGGTGCCGCATCGAGTCAAAGATTGAATGACCTGAATGAGCTTGATGAGTTTCTCCTAAAAGCATATGAGAGTTCAGCCATATACAAGGAGAAGATGAAGAAGTACCATGATGAGAAGATAGAAAAACGTGAATTTGTTGCGGGGGATCTGGTGCTCTTATTCAACTCAAGGTTGCACTTGTTTCCTGGCAAGCTCAAGTCCAAGTGGACTGGGCCATTCAGAGTCACTCAGGTATTTCCACATGGAGCGATTGAGCTCGAGAACAAGGAAGGGACTAGGTTCAAAGTGAATGGGCAGAGGATCAAAGTCTACTTGGGGAAATATGAGATTGTGCAAGAAGCGATTGAGGCCTACTATCTTGATGAAGTCTGAATAATCAAGGTTTCTACATTGTGCCGCAACGTTAAATCAAGCGCTGCTTGGGAGGCAACCCAAGATGTACAATCTAGCTAACTATAGGATTTTCTTTTCGATTTAAAAGTGCTCTTCCTTCTTTTTGATTTTAGTAGCTATTTTGATAGGTGCTTATTTTTATGCTTAGTGTTGGATAGATTTAGAATAGGGTCCGTGTCTAAAAAGTGTCCAGAAAATATAAAAAGAAAGTCCTAATGGTTGCTACATGTGCAGGGATGAAAAGGCAATATCAGAAAAAGGCTGTGCAGTGGTCTACGGGCCTCATCGACGGTCTGTTGGTCAATCCACGGATCGTGGATGTCGTTCGTAGATCCCAAGTAAGTTTATAAATTTTTCTAAATGTCAGAGTGACATATGGACCAGACCCACGGTCCGTAGGTCGACCCACAAACCGTCGACGGGGTCTCGTAGGTCCAACCTACGGTTTCTTCCTGACCCGACCCATACCCCTTTTTAATAAAAACCTTTCATTTTAAAACATTTCCCACTTCCATATTTTCCTCCCAACCATTTTTAACCTTCCATATACCATTCTTCTCCCTTTCATAACCCCCATATCACTCCCCAAATCAATCACACATATCCCATAACTCCCTTTTTCTCTCCCAAACTCATTCCCCTTCTCCTTTTTCTTCCCCACTCAATCTCACAGTCCGGTTTCGATGTTGAAAGGCTAGCAAAGGGTCATAGATTTCCTTGCATCACCACACTCACAGACTTCAAATTACTTGTAAGGTAAGCGATTTCACCCTAACTTTGAATTCAATGTTCATTGCTTAATTCATGAAATCATGAAGTTGAACTTAACCTTGGGTTGTTAATCTCCTAGTTGAATGCTTGACTTGTAATTGAGAACACCCTCGGAATGATGGTAATGTGAGTGTGTTAAAAATTAAAACCAACTAAATCAAGTAATAGGTTTAATTGGATGTTTTGACTTAGGGTTCATATGTTTCAGTGTGTAAAATGTTGATATATGTTGCAACGAAACCCTAAGGATGATAAACTACCATATTATATGTTGAAATGCATGTGCAAGCTTAGTTTGATGGATTATTTGTTGAAATCTTGGTTTGTGCAAAAGTAGATAGGTCTGCCTTGCACAGAACTAACTCACGACTTCAATATGACATGATAAGGAACCAATTTGACCTTATGACTTAAGCTAAAACTTCAACTGGGGAATCTAATAATCCAATAATGAAATAATGTGCCAAGTGTGTGTGAGAAAAGTTTGAAAACCAATCTAGAACTCGCCCCGTTGGTCCTGCTAAGATAATCTAGGCTAGAAGTTGGGATATGATCATAGGCCATTGCTCTAATAAATTCCACAAAAGCCTAAAATGATTCAACTAAAAGCAATAATTGTTCCCTTTGATCCAAATATTTGAGCCTAAAATAGACCACTTCTATCAATACACCTAACTCACCTTCCCTAAAATAATTGTCTTGGACCTGGTCCCTCCTTGGACATGTGCACCTTGACTTAGGCCAAAAGCCTAAGTTGAGGGTGGCTAATTCAAAAGTTATATTAATCTTGGCCCTGGTCCGACATCGGATATTGTGCATCTCAACTCATGCAAAATACATTTGTTGAGGGTGACTATGAAAAAGGAAAACAAAAGAAAAAGGGTATGCAAAGAGTTTTGTGTAAAAGAAAAAAAAGAAAGAAAAAGATGTGATTGAATGGAAAAGACAAAGAAAGTTGAAATCAAAAGAAAGAATAAAGAAAATTGAAATAAAAGAAAAAGAAGAAAGTGAAAGTGAGTGCAACAAAGTCAAAGTCACATCCGTGTTGAAGAATGTCAAGGGAAAGAGAAGAAAATAAAAAGATGTTAAGAATTGGTTGAGAAAAGAGGTAAGAGCCAATGTAATGTCAAGGATGGCATAAAAGTCACTAAAAAGTACCCAAATGTATCCTACCTGACCCTGAGCCTACGTTACAAGTTAAGAAAGTCCTACAACAATCCTAGTGACTAGTTTGGAGAGTATATGCAATGAAAATAATGGCAAGCCTATGGTATTGAGCACTAACTGTACTTGAAGTCACTTCTAAGCGTGAGTATTGAATGAATCCTTAAAACTTGAAAATCATATCTATTGTGTGAAAAAGGATTTCGGTTGAAGTGAGGGCACTAGTTACATTGTTGAAAAGTTGGTACCTTGGTGATTGTGAAAAGTGTATGTTGTGATGTCTATTGGTCTGTCTATGTCATATCTTGATCCGCATGAGTTAGCTTGTTGAGTCTATGTCAAAAGGTTTATACTAAATGAGGGATTTGATTTAGATAGCCATGTGATTGCTTGAGTTTGTATGTTTACTTCTACACAAGTGTCATTTAGAGTTTTAGTGTGTCGCTTGAGGACAACCAACAAGTTTAAGTTGAGGGTGTTGATATACCGTAAGTTTACAGTATTTTTGATATGTTTCACTTAGAGTTTGTGTGTGTCTTGCGCTATTTTGTTATAGAAATGATGTTTTGTGTATAATGATTGCAGGAAATAAGCTTGGAATGCGGTTGATGGAGATGTGAGCTGAAATTATGTAGAAGGAGCCACCCACAAAGCTGAAAATAACCCTTTCGCCATAAGCATTTGTATCAGACTACTGGTTACCACAAACGTATGACCTGGAGGCAACGGAGGAAGAACAATGGGTCCATCTGATGCAGCTGGATCATAATCAACCCTATAGTGATCACGAAACCTTGGTGCTGGCGGATTCGGTACCCTTTCCACATTACCAGTTAGATTACCACCAAGGACCTGAATAGGCTCATTAACAACCCTTGGGGGCAGCCTTTCATATCTATTATCTAGACCCTCTTCGATCGAATTGTTGTGGACCCTTTGGATATTTATTCTCCTTAAGGTTTTATTCAATTCTGGATCGTAAGGAATCAACGGTTCACCTCAAATCCGTGTACTTGACATACACTAGAGTAGAAACCTGAAGAAACAAAAACAAAACAAGAAATGTAAAATCAGGAAATACTTGACTAAAGTTCAACACTTGTAGTTAACTTAATCGAAAAGCATTATTCCCCGGCAAAGGCGCCAAAATTTGATACGCTCAAATTACACCTCCCTAAAGAAGTATAAGCGATTGTTGTCAAATAAAGAACTCCACTTGTAGGTTGGGTTCGATCCCACAAGGAATTTGGTCTAGACTTAACTTAACTATCAATTATATCCGTTTAGTCAATGAATTTCCAAGGAAACTAAAACAAGAGGAGATTTTGTAATGAAGTAACAAATTGTTATGCTTAAGTAACAAGTAGACAAGATTCAACTTTGTTGTATCAATATGAGAAAGAAACTAGGGCATATGTGTTCCCCATAAGCTATTAATGCAGTAATCCTAATAATAGTAATTATTTCATAGTGTTTTACATGCAAAGTTAGGAAGTTATGTATCCCTAAGTGATTAGTCCTCCAAATAGGGAATTTCACTGCGCACCTTAGTCCGGCTTCGAGTGTGTGCTTTACTAACCCTTACCTTTACCTCAAATTAGTCATCACACCAATGTATGGATTATTAGACTATTAGATAGCATCCACTAAATCTCTGTTGTTAATTCTTTTCTCATTCACTACCTCCTTGGTCCGACAAGTAGAAACGAGGCGAGTTCTAACGTTGGCCACCGTTAAAAGACTTTTAAGCAAAAGAATTAACAATACATGTATGACACTATTCACAGATTACTTTATTATTATTCATACATTGTAATTGCTCATGGTTCCACAACCCTAGTTGTGGATTTAGCAACTCATGTTTGAAATATCACAATTCATATTTGAGTAAAAAGAATTCATCAACTTATAAGTTAAATTTCTTAAAATCGAAATCTTCAATTGAAAAGCAAAGTTAAACTTTCATAAACCGAAATCCGAAAATCAAGTTGCTAAAGTTTGCAAATTAATTCCCAAAACACCAAAAAATAGAAGTTTACAATAATGTCTAACCTCCAAAAATGAGGTTTATAACTCCTATTTATAGAAAAAGAATCCTAAATAAATCAAGAAACAAAATAAGGAAATAACTCGCAGGGCGCAGTTTCAAACGACACTTCGACCTACGGATCGTGTGTCAACCTACTGTCCGTAGGTCCCCTCCGTGGCTCAACACTTAGAAACTTTCATCAGGTACTGGAACCTTCAACTCTTAGATCATCAATGATAGACGTGCATGACGGTACATGGGTCGACTTATGGTCCGTCGTCTTGCTCCGTGGTTCCATACTTGTCAGAATTCCTTGATGTTCTACCGACGATACCTCACCCACGGTCCATGGACTGGACTACTGTCTGTCCTGGCACTTCATGGTTTGAGTTACTGGAACTCAGCCTCCAGGCCAAGACCTACGACTGCCCATCCACGCCCAGTGGTTGGACCTACGGTCTGTGGGTGGTTCCGTGGGTGGTCACTTTTGCACTTTTTCATCTCACGTCTTCATCAACCACATCCAAGCCTATTTCCTGCAAACATCATACATAAAACATTATTTCTAACACAAAATAGCCCAAGACGCACACAAACTCTAAGTGAAATGTATCAACAGTACTGTAAACTCACGGTAAATCAGTGAGTCATCATGTTTCAAGGACAAAGGCTTCTTTAATTTGATTTCCCTATATTTTAGTTCTTCAGATGTTGTACATTGTGTACAGTTTACATCCCAACCTTTTCCTTTGATGTAGTAGATGGATTTTCATGACTATGAGAGAGTTATGCTTTTAAATGTCGAACTATCTTACTAATATGAGATTTCTTTAATTTGTGTATTATATTGTGTATATGTATGTTGAGTGGCTTGCGTAGGGCCTTTTAGGATCTTAAATGTCATGTCACGTGTAGGGTGTACTTTGGGTTGTGACACTTGGGCAACTAACTCTATAAGTCAATTTGCTTCTAGATCATGCTACATTCCATCCTTTATAGGGTCTTGGAAATCACA